GGGGGGGGGGGCGGTAAAGCATACCCTGGGCCCTTTTGACATTTCTTTCATCAAAAGCATGTTTTAGTTAACTGCCTTAGGTGGCAATTAGGGGAATACCAGGGTGGTGGCTACAGGACTAAACTCTGCTCCGCTCCACCCAAAATGTCATTCTTCCAAACGTTCCGCTTAGAAGGGCAGTTCTGCTGAACAGATGTCTATAAAAGGGGTGCTATATACTCTACAGTACAGGTCTCTACTCCAATGATTTGCACATTCAATGTCTAGCTGGCTTCAAATCTTGTCATTTTATATTTCCTTCTGCCTGACCTGAGATAATAAAGTTTGCCTGAGTGATAATTACATAATGCACTCTGCCTCACAACTGAAAGTTGTTTTCATGGAACTACCATCAATATTTTCTTGTCCTCAATTATGTAAGGTCCATTACATGTTCTAGCGAACAGGTTACTAATCTACACTTTTGATCTATGTGCTTTCCTGTTTCCTTATAGGTTGCAAGAAAAAATTCATCACTGGCAGATCAGTGGCCAAGCATGTACAGAGACAAGGAACCCCTGTCTATTCCTCCTGGTCCGGGTGGGGTGAGCTTTTCCAGAGGAAAAGCACGTAGAATTATTCAGTGGCTGAAAAGTGACAGGTGATTGATATAACAATTGAAATACTGAGAGAGTAAAAGAACTCTAGGTAATATGTGATGTTTTTATTTTAGACAAGAATTCATCCGTGAGAAAAATGATATTGAGATTAAATCAGAGCATGACCTCCGTGATGGTCGAATAAGGTTTCCTCTGCCACTAAATGAGGAAAAGATAATTCCTATTTCTATCAGGAACACATCTAATGAGTCTGTGACTTTGGTCCAGTACAAATGTTTACGTAGGATGGGTACCTTTTCTTTCCATGATGAGTACAGTGTGTCTGCTTCTAAAACGTTACTGCTAAATCCAGGTAAGAATGGTGCTTTAGTTTGCATAGTGATAATAAAGTCAGAAGGTTTTTAAGCTATTTCAAATGCTGATGAAATCCCTTACGATGGACGCTGCTCCTTGATGTTTAGAAGTTGTGGTTTCCTGCAGAATTAGCTGGTTCCCCAGAGCACTTGCTCTTGATATTCTGATTTAGGGTGGTTTTTTGCCCTTGCAGGGTTTTATGGAGACACCCTTCTGTGTGTGCTAGTAAACTGTGTGTCATCGCAAACACAAAGGCACTGCAAAGCAAGCCATTCCCCTGCTTCCTGCTCCACCCTCCTCCCAGCTGGTAGATGGACAGATGCTGGAGACTGGTCCGTCCTTTGTGATTTTGTACTAGACAGGAAGGTCAGGGAGGCAGGGCTGAGTGAGTTGGTGCCAGCTGTTCAGAAATATGATGACTGTTCTTGCTTGGGAAAAAAATAAAATAAATACTTTGCTGGGCAATGTATATTTGTTTGATCTGGGTTAATTACTGAACACAAATGTTTGAGAGTCTAATAGTATTTTAACACACAAGATGTAGTGACAAATTTGTAAAATATCAGTAGTGTTATGTTGGAGTTAAAAGAGAACTATGGGGTAAGTGTTTTTCCCCATAGTTCTCTTAAGGATCATGGGAACCCGTGACCCAAAGCTGAGTATATTGCGAGATACAGCTCGCGGTATACTGAGACCGCCACAGCCGGGATGGATCCCGACAATGCTGTCGAGATCCACCCAGCTGCGTGAGTGACAGCTGGCTCTGCCTATCTAGAAGCAGAGCCAGCTGTGCCCGCCCCCTCATCCGCCCGTTTCTCCAGTCAGCGCTGGAGGATCGGAACGGGGAGATGATCGAGAAGTGAGCGACAGTATGTGTTCACTCACTTCCCGATCTATTGAGCCGACATGTGACAGTTGTCGTACCTCGGCTCGGACTATGAGGATGAGTGATTTTTCACTCACCTCACAGTTCTCCTTTAAATCCCAACTATAAGCAACTTCTTTTGTTCTTGATGAAGGCATACAGTTTGACTGCATAGTAACCATTAAGGTGCCCATACACTGCACGATTATCGTACGCGATCGGTTTTTCGTACGATAATCGAGCAGTGTGAACGGAGACGTGCGACCGTTTCTACTGTACGGTCGCACGTCTTCTGTCGAACCAGCATGTTGGAAAACCAGCCGGGAATCGTACGATTCTCTGCTGGTTAGAACGGTGCTCGGAAGACAAATGCTGAACGGGCCGGTGTGCGCACGCGCACACTGCCCGTTCAGCATTGCGGTCATCGGAAGCCCGCCCCTCAGGGGGGCGGGCTTGCGATGATCGAGAGTGCGATCTGCCTGTCCAAGATAGGCAGATCGTACGTTTTTTTAATCCCTTTACAACCATCGCAAGACTAAGGTCTTGCGATGGTTGTACAGTGTATGGCCACCATTATGCAGAGATTTTTAGGTGTAGCAAGTACCATATGCAACGATCTATTAAAATCTAAAAAGTCAGTCATAAAAGCTACCAATGTCAGATCATCCTTGTATCTGTACAGAGTTTTGAAGTCCATGATGTTACACGTTGTCCAGTCCTATAAATATAGGTATCCAAAGTAAGAGCTAGATGTGGTACTGTATCACCTAGTGATAGTTGTGATATAACCTAGTGTGGGTATATTATAACTGTATAAATGTTAAGAGGGAGCCCCAATGTAAAAAAAAAAAAATGTGGGGCTCCCGCAAAAGTCCTTTCAGACCCTTTAGGTCTGGTAAGAATTTTTTTAGGGGGAAATCCCAACGCCGGTAGAGCGAAAAAAAAAAAAGTGCCCCCCCCAAAACTCCAAATTCATCTGGGCAGATATTTTTTGGCATTCAGAGGGTGCTGAAAAAGCACCTTGTCGCCATGCCAATGGTTGTGGGGGTCTGTGGGCAGGGGGGCTGCTTTGCATTGGCTTACCCCCTTTCATAAAGGGGCACCTAGAGGCCACACCCCCCTCCCCCTCTTTTTTGTGTTTTTTTTTTAAAGATTTAGTAAGAATTTTGTAAGGGTTATGTTGTTCTGTGTGTTAATCATTTTACTGTATTTTTGTTTAACTATAATTTTGATAAACATTTGATCAAATATCATGGGATGTACAAAGTCAATAGCAACATAATTTTATTCTATCCTTCCTATTCTTTTTAGAAAATGTTTGTTTAGGTGGTTCTTTTACAAGCTGTAAGTGAAAAATGGAGCAAAAATGGTCTGGCCACCTGAGGTCAAAAGTGAGCTGCAGGGCCTGGCAGTTAAAGGGTCAAACACCTTTGTTTTAACTCCACTTAATTCAAGCCACTTTGTTCAAAAGCTTCTTTGAGCAAGCTCAATATGAGTTGTACTTATATGGCACCTGATTAATAACAGATTTACCTTTCTTGCTGAAATATTGTTTTGGATACAGTCTACTGATCCCTGATGTATTGTCTCACCAAAAGAATAATGAAGTCACCTTGTTTTTCTAGCTTGATTTTTAGATTTGGGGTCACTACAGCCTAGCTAAGCTGCTTATGGCAGTAAATTGATTATTTCCAAAATAATTCTTGTTGGGAATTTCAACACTTACCTTTCCCACAGAATGTATAACTGGTGTTTTCCAGCTCTTCCGCTGCTACAGCCCTAATTGAGAAACAACACCTTACAAATATTAGGGACAAGAGGGACATAGGGCACTGTCGCAACGGAAGTACGGGGGCTGCCTATGCTGGCTTCCCAAAGAAAATGCTAGTTGTATGGCTATGTCCAACCCAATTACTGTTAAATCGCAGACCCAGAACAAGCATCCTGTAAATGAGTGTCTGTTTTGGTCTGTAGCAATTACGTTTTCACATTATATTTATTTTTTCTCATTGCAGATGCTGTGTATGACATTCAGGTTCGTGCCTCAAGTGCTTTCTTTGGCTATTTTCCTGTAACCCTTGTGTTTGAATTCATGAAAAGAAATGGTGAAACCAAAGAGACTTTTTATATCGGGAGGTTTATATCTGCTGTGTCTAACAGTAAATTAGCAGAAGATCTGGCTCCAACTTCCAAATACGTTCCTTATCAAAGAAATCTACTTCAGAAAGTAGAGAGGATAGAGGTGGATGGCGTACCACCAATCGGGTCAGTGCCTGTTGAGAACTATTCTTATTCTCTGATTCTTCTTTTGGAATGACCAGTAAACCTAAAACTTTAACGAGAGCTACTTAATGTTCATAAATGTTTTTCTTTTTTATATTTATTATACCACCATATTACAATTTGCTTTACAGAATGAATGTACACATTCACACCAGTCCCTCACTTTGAAAGAGCTTATAGTCTCTACAACATATATATACAGTCGAGGCGTAATGTGTTTTGAATTTCAGATCATCTACCAGTATGTTTTTGGGATATGCAGTGGTACCTTGGTTCACGAACGCCTATCTGCGCGAACAATTAGGTTCGCGATCAGGAAGTTCGTCAACATTTTGCCTCCATTCGCGAACTCTGCCTCGGGTTACGAACACGACCGCGGCCATCTTCCCTGCTCTGACACATGGTTGTGGCTTCCTGCACTCGAGATTTCGGTCGCAGACAGGGCTGTGGACACTTACTGTGAAGCTTTTTTTGTGTGCTTTGTAGCACAGTACTGTACAGTATTACTGTATTCAATCCAGCATGGCTTCCAAGAAAGTGCAGAGCATTAATGAAGGGGACAAGAATGTGCAGAACAGTAATGAAGGTGACAAGGATGCGCAGAGCGTTAAGGAAGGTGATAAGAATGTGCAGAGCATTAAGGAAGGTGACAAGAAAGTGCAGAGCATTAATGAAGGGGACAAGAATGTGCAGAACAGTAATGAAGGTGACAAGAATGTGCAGAACATTAATGAAGGTGACAAGGATGCGCAGAGTTTTAATGAAGGTAACAAGGATGCGCAGAGCGTTAAGGAAGGTGATAAGAATGTGCAGCGCATTAATGAAGGTGACAAGAATGTGCAGAGCATTAATGAAGGTGACAAGGATGTGCAGAGCGTTATTGAAGGTGACAAGAATGTGCAGAGCAAGAATTGTGGTAAAAAGAAACTTGTGGTTAATTTTTTTTTTCTTTCATAACGGATTAACCTGATTTACATTGAACCCTATAAGAAAATGTGATTCGGTTCGCGACCAGAATCGTGGAACCAATTAAGTTCGTGAATCGAGGTACCACTGTAGAAGGAAACTAGTGCAAAAACCCCATTCAATCCAGCTGGTGTCCCTGGTGCTACTTGAACCCAGGACTCCGCATTGCAAAACAAGAGGGGCTAATACGTGCTCACCATGCCATCTACAGTATAACATAGCATTCCCTTTACGGAAATTTAAACATATTCCTTTAAGCAGCAATTAAATAATACTTTTTGACCCAGATAGAATTTGTCATGGTTCTTTAGTTACTCTTTGTTTTAAAGCGAGACTAAGCTGTGGAAACTCTTCCCCAAAGGGGCAAGCAGAGAACCAAGGACTGGTCACCATCATATTCACCAGCTTATTTTATTTCCCAATACTGACTTATCATGCATTTCTTTTTCACTGTGTCTCCTTGTGGAGGCGGCCAACTTGTTAGAACTTTGCTTTCTCATGTCCAAGCTGCCCCTTAAGCAGCAGAAGTTCTGAAATCACATATTCACAAAATAAATTAAGCAGAAACAGAGAGGCCTTTGGGTGCTCACATACAGCTTCCTATCCAACAAAGCGAATACTGGCATTACCATCACAAAATCACTGCCAATCTCAGGAAACACGCAGCCTTAGACTTCATTCACACTGAGCGATTTGTAGCGCGATTTCAGCTCAAAAATCGCTCAAACATCAGCTCAATGTAGCATGTCCCATGCATTTCAATGGAGCTACTCACATCTCACAGCTCAATGTCGCCTGTAGCTTGTAGCTCAAGCTTGTCGCTTGAACATGACCTATTTTTCGGTGGATTTCGTGCGATTTGGCTGAATAGACTTCAATGGTGTAGCTTAATCTCGCTGGACATTGGGCTACAGAAGTGTCACTTTTGCACAGAAATATAAGCAGGAAACAGGAAGAGGAATTATGTCACATTGGAAACAGACCAATGTAGCAGCTACGAAGTCCATGCCAAAAGTAGTGCTACGTTGCGCGACAATATGTGCACTGTAGCTCAATGTCTCCCAAAGTCACTCAGCTCAAATCAGCACTGAAAAAGCGCTAATGTAGCTCAGTGTGAATGGGGTCTAAAGGTGCCCATACACTCTACAACCCTCGCAAGACTATTGTCTTGCGAGGGTTGTAAAGTACTTTAAAAAAACGTACGATCTGCCCGCCTTGGACAGGCAGATCGTACTTGCAATGATCGCAAGCCCGGCCCCCTGAGGGGCGGGCTTCTGATGACTGCAATGCTGAACGTGCAGTGTGCGCGTGCGCACACCGGCCCGTTCGGCAGTGATCTCTCGATCATGTTAAAAACCAGCCGAAAATCGTACGATTCTCGGCTGGTTTTCCAATATGCTCAATATGCAAAAGTGGTGCGACCGTACATTAGAAACGGTTGCACGCCTTCCATACACTGCACGATTCTCATACGATCACGGGATTTCCCGCGATTCTCGTACGAGAATCGTGCAGTGTACGGGCACCTTTAGAGGATCTCACACTGCCAAAACAGTATATAGCTATGAAGCTGGAGCCACAGAAGTCCCTACGCACATGAGGTACACTGATATTTTTCAGAAGAATTTGAATCAAAAGGTACATTTTAAGGGCACTGCTTAAGCACAATTAACATTTGTAAAGTTTCTCTCTAACATAGCAAATCTTCATATTTTTTTAGTTCAAGTTCACTTTAAAGAGACCATGACACTTTAGTCCTGGGTTCATATTTTCGTAGTGGAAGTCACACTAGGAGGAGCGTTGAGGGAGCATTGTGATTATAAGTTTTTAGGCATTTTATGTCTAGTAAAATGCAAAACTCAGATACCTGGTAAAATGCTATTGTTTGGTGTAAGAGTTGCTCAGAAAGTCGATCTGGTATTGGATAAGATATGACATTTGTTTTTTGTAGAAAGCTTTCTGGGATTCAAATGCACTGCTCATGATTCAGATACATGTTACAAATTTTCAACCCAAGGGTACAAGTACCCATAAAAAATTACAACGCACAGGAACGCATACATACACATACATCAGTAGGACCATACACATACACACAATAGGTTGGACTCGATGGACATATGTCTTTGTCTATTCAACCTCAACTACTTTGTATATGCAACCCAAAATAACTTCTGTTAAGTCTTTTTCTGATGGCAACTGGGTGGTTTAGATTTAATTTGCTATTGTCAGACTTTTTTTTTTTTTTTACATGAAAAATCTTTTTTTTTATGTGCATGCTTCTAGGTCTTTCAGTTATGCTTTGGAAAGGGAAGTTCGTATTGATGACTTTTCTCCACCTTTGCATCTGACGTTCAGCATAAGAGCAGGAATGTTCTCAAAAGAAAAAATGCGAACTAATTCCACACCAACAATTACACTGCTAAGGTAAACTAAAAATAGCATTTTCATGAGATAGAATCTATGTAGAATTTTGGAAGGTTTGGTTGTAATCCAAGAAATGTACACAGAATAATTTAGGATGTTTTAAAATGTTATTTGAAAAACTTTCTGTACAGCTGTACATATGGTACGTTAATTTAAAAACACCTAGGCATGCTTATTTCAGCATTCGCCCAGGCCCCACTTATAGTTTAGAAAATCAAAAACAAGAGCACTCCCTTTTCCTTGTCAATGCACTGCAGGGTTGCTGCTCTTTAGTGCGCATGCTCCAACTCCCTGTCTGCTCTCTTCAGCTTTAACTCACCCTCCCCAGTGTTGAATTCTCACTCCCAACTACACACCATATGCTGTCCAAACACTAATCGAATTTTGGGCAAGCTCTGCTGATTCTGCTGAAATTCAAGCTTCAAAATTCAAATTAGAAGAATCCGACACTTGGTATATCCTATATTTCTCTTTCCCATATTTCTCTCTGCAGTTACCGCACATGTGTGAGTAGTAAGTGTAGTTAAACTTTTCGTAAATGGCTTGTTAAAATAAACATATAGGTGATAGGGTGTGAGATGTAATAATTTGCCTCTCTGTTGCAACATGTATGGTTACTTTATGCATTCTCATCTCAGGAACGTGCTGTTGTCGACTTTGAACTTCAACAATTATAATGAAAAATTCCACATGCTACTGCACCTTGAAGAGATGCAAATGGACATCGACATCCGAAGATATGATCAGAAACGGCAGATAATGCAGCAGCATCCAAAAGACAAACGGATCCTAATTCTTGATGTAAATATATTATATTTGCGATCACTGGAGAGATCCAGTTGTTGTTAAGCTTTTAACATGGCTGCCTTTTAGATATATTTTGTCAAAGGCCAGACGAATTCAGGTTTAAATCTCCAAAAAGAAGTTTACAGTGCAACTGTGCCCAAACCACAGTCTTTACATGCTCTTAACACGTAGTAAGTAAACCTTTTAACAAGCCCTCACTGACCTCTGTAGTTTAAAGTACTATGAACTAATTCATCCTCTTATCACAACAGAGGCCACAAAGTTGGGTTTCTAACATCTTACAGCATGTGCTGTTTATTTACAATAGAAGGCTGGCTGCCAAATCCTGACTGTCATAGAAAATAAGTGGAGAGGAGCTGTAATTTCAGTGCCTGTGTTGTAAACTTTGAAGATGAATATCACTGCAATGCATGTAGCTACAGAGGTGAATGAGGTCTTGTTTAGGCACTTTTACATATATATTAAAAAAAACAGTAAATGTTTTAATATGCATAGTCTTGACATAAGTGCACTTGGTTATTGACTGAAGTCAGAAACAACCAAGCAACTAGCATTTTCGGGAGATCAGCAACACTAGCCTCAATATTTCTCTTAGTACAGGTGTCTGTCAAAATGTAATATAGTCAGTTTGTTCTTGCTGGTCTGGGAAGTGACAGCAGAATTTGTAAAGTGAAGCAACATGTAACAAGATACTTTTAAGACAAACAAACAGCAATGATTTGGCAACATCAGCCCACTGCATTCCTTTTTATTCATGCAGCATACCATTGAGTTTGCTGAATATTTTTGTTTTGTTTAAATGGAACACATAACCCTAAAAGTGTTTAAGAGTTGTCAATGGGGTTTTTTCTTCCTCTCCTTTGCAAAGGTTCCTGGCGTGGCCGAAAATAGACCCTCGGTGTTAAAGGGAGACCACCTTTTTGTGAGTTTGTCTGAAGAGCCAGAGACACGGGAGAAAGTTTCTTATAAAGGTTATGTGCATGGTGTTGAATTAGAGAAAGTCAGACTTGGTTTTTCTCAACAGTAAGTATTTCTCCTCTTGTGTTCTAATATAGAATACGTAATTGCACTTTGTTGGCATTCAGAGCTTTGCATTAAAAGATGAATGCGTCATCACGTGCCCTTAAGTGAGTTAATCACATGCTTTTTCACATTATTTTGCAAAGCCTATGCAAAAACGCATAAACATATATCAAAATATGCATTCAAGCATTTTATCATACACATAATGATGTATACATTTTATAAATATTGATTTTTTTGTTGGCCCAAATAAAACCTTTTCCTTTTAATTTTTTTACCAGAGCTAATGTTTTTAGCAATATATCTAATGTACATAAAACTGACTGAGTTTTTTTCCCTACATAGTAATAAGAAATTAAAAAGAGGAAATACTACATATGTGCTATGTGCATTATAAATGTTCTTTAAAACCATTTTCCATCATTTCAAGCACACACATAGTTTAATGATTTGATTTTTTGTCAGGGTTAAAATATAATTTCACTCTCCTCTTTGGCGAGGCACAGAACACAGATGTCTTTAATATTTAGCTTTTCCCTGAACATCTTGCCTAATAAAAAAATTGCAAACATAATTTGCGCAGAAATGCTTTTTGAATGCTTTGGGTGAATTATAAAAATACAGTCATTTAATAATAAAATCTCAGCAAGACAAATTACGATAATAGTCTTTTAAATTCCTGCAATAATAGGTTTGTAGAAGGAGAGAATTTTTGAAAAATAAATGCATTGAGTGCCAAAATATAGAATAGGTGACAACTTAAAAAATTGCCATTTCTTGAAGCGCCTATTGGCAAGAACAATATTTTAAGGGGGGTTTTTACAAGTGGGTATTTTTTTTTTTTTGCGGTGTGCTTTTTCACTAAGCAAAATAGTATATGCAATGGCGAGGAAAGCCATTTTGTGAATAAATATTGTGTAAAATGACCTTTTCTTTGCAATCTACAGGTGCCATGGTCTCCTAAAAGTGTCAGAAATCCACACTGCAATTGCCAGAAATGTGTTTAATAGGCTATTCTGCTGTATTGCAGATTGTGTGGCAGTTCTATAGGCAGTGTGTGTTACAAAACTTAAAATAAGAAAGTAATTTATTTACAATGCAACACAACAGAACGTAGCCCTAGTCGGTTAAGCATTGGTTTCCATCAGAACTATACACATTCCAGTTTGGCTTTGTGATCCATCTGTTCTTGAAACACCTGTTAACTTCAGTTGCATATACTGTACATAATACATTATATGAAAGCAGTGCCGCGCTGTCAAGTTCTTCCCTCCAATATTTGCAAACAAATGTGAAATGCAAATAGTGAATCAACACTACTGTATTATCAAAATTGTGAAAAATATGTGAACGTTATCAACCGTAAATCAACACTCCCCCCAATGCATATACTGTAGCAATCTTATTTGTGATCAATCAACATTTAAGCCTGTGTCCCAAATTTGTATACTATCCCGTGAAGTTCAACAATAAGAGATGCCCTTTGCAGATACACTGTTACTTTTACCCTGCATGGTCAAGGTGGCAGTGTAATTTTAAGCAACACTAGGTAAAAGCAATGTAATCAAGTTCAAATGAAACATCCAATAATGTAAAGTAGTTGTTTTTTTTCCCCCTTTACATGATTAGATGTTCAAAGTGAAGCCAGGTTCAGTTCACGTTACCACTTTTCATATTTTATTACATTTGCTCTTTGTGTAAACTAAACAAAATACCAGTCTAAGGGCCCTGTCACACCAGCAAGAGGTGTGTTCCAGTGCATACGTCTTCTGGAATGCAACCCGGCCAGCTTACTTTGTTTTGGAGCGGGAGGGGGCGTGGCGGTGCATTGAACTCAATGGCACTGCAGCCACACCTCCCACTCGCGGTGCGATCGCCGGCACCCGAACGCGTGGCACATTAGTGCCTGCATTCTGGTCCATTGCGATCTGCAAAAAATGCTGCAGAGGCCGAATGCACTGGACCGCACTCTTGATGGTGGGACTGGGCCCTAATTCACAAATATAGCATGTTTGTGAAAGTACTAAGCTTTATGATAAGCTGATGGAACTTTTCTATCTCTATATGCAAATTCTATTAAAAGCATGTTATATTGCTAATAAATACTGTATTGTTTTGTTCATTAGACTTTTAAATAGATTTTTACCTGGGACACTCTTTGATGTTACATTTACCTTCAACCGCTTGCCACTGAGGATTCAGCACAGAGCCGTGAATCTGGCAAAAGAGAGAATGCTGGAAGATGCCTTATTTCCCACACATTCAGACGGGAAGTGTATTGAGAATGTAGACCGGCTAAGGTAAACTTTATAAAACACATTACTGTGATTGCAACTTTTGTCATGCCCTTGAGAATGAATGCATGTATGTATAAGTGTGTGTGTGTGTGTGTGTGTGTGTGTCAGTGAAAAACAGTGCTGCGCTTTTATAAACCCACAACAGTAAAGTCAGCAACCAAATACAGTGTAACCAATAAAAGCTAAAATGAAACAACTCCAAAAATAATTTGTGATAGAATTGCATAAGGTGCTATAAGTAAATGTGTATTAAATAATCGCAACAAAACAACATTGTCTTTAAACCAAAACAAAACACCGTGTTCAAGCAAACAAGTGCTGTCCTGTAAATAGGGGGTTTCCAACACTCCTTCACATACTCCTTCCACCAATATATTGCAATACAATCCGCTCCACCTCCCCTCGTAAGTTCACTCTTCTGGTCGGCTGCTCACCTTTCCTACTACACCAGGGGTGTCAAACTCAATTTCACCGTGGGCCGCATTAATCATGTTTGCCCTCAAAGGGCCGCAGTTGTCTGTATGACTATATAAATGTATCTTCTCTTTATCATAATAAATAATTGCCTCTGCATTTGATTATTACTGGTTTTAGTAATAACTTTATAACTAGCTCTGAAAGTAGAAGTCTAGGAAACATAATGTCAATTAGTGTAATAGTGCGGACACTCAGGTGGCTGTGCAGGTTCAATGGTGGGCTGTGGGGACTCTCATGTGGCTGCGTGGGGGTCTATGCTGGGCTGTGCACGGTCCTAGAAGGGCTGTGTGGTCTTACCAGGGGTCCCAAAGCCGTGTAAGGGGCCCCAACATTTCTGATGGCTGCCCTTGGAAAGGTGAAGAAGACACAGATCCACAATGGATGAAGCAGAAGTAGGGAGATGCATGCAGTGCAGGTCCTCTGGTGCAACTTCCTCTCTAGCATGGCAATAGAGAGCAGTAAAGTAGTGACCTCTCCAAATCTCACTCCAGATTTCGCATGACCAGCAGGAACAGAAAGCAGTGCCTCACACACGGCAGATATTCAGCTAGGCAAAGGAGTGTCTTGACACATTCACATGCAAGGAAGTGCACTGCTATTTTTCAGAAGGGATTCAAGACAAAGGGCAGATTTTTTTTTTTTTTTTACTCCTTAGGCACAACTTAACCTTGTTAGCTGTACCTTCAATTTTATGTCTGAAGGCACCCCCTGATTTAATGAAAGCATTGCATGCCTTTCTATTGAATATATATTTTTCTGCTTCTAATGTATGTATTTACTTTTGCCTGTCTAGTCTGTATGATCGAAATCTTGAATCAAATCCCGAGCAGTTCATGGCTGTTAAGCAGATTGTAAGTGGCATATCCAGACCAGCTCCATATCTCATATTTGGACCCCCAGGCACTGGAAAAACTGTAACTTTGGTGGAAGCCATCAAACAGGTAAAGAGAAAAAAAAGCTTAGCACTTTGTCTTGATACCTGTCATTTTGTCAAATGAAAATTAAAAACAAATCCAACTCATGCAAAATCAGCAGAAATAAAAGCAGAACTTTTTATTAATAAATGTTAATCCATTTTACCTGTCCCAGGTTTAATTCCTGTCCCTGCTAGCTCCCACTATTGCTGCACTACTATTAACGGTTATTCAGCCATAGCCATATGCAAGCTTATGTGATCTGAATACTGAAAAATGGCCTGGATGGGAAGGGGGTTTAACACCGCGGATGTCAAGTGTGAGAACAGTTTCACCAGACAGGAAGTGAGGGAAAATCTCTAATATCAACACATGCAGAAATAAAAGCATTTTTAGTAGAGTAGGGGAAGGCTAGAACCTCCTGTTTTATTGCTGTGTGTCTGTTGCAAATGTTTCAAATGTTTAAAATTCTCAAGGCTTGTAACTAGAGGTGCACCAAAATGAAAAATTTTTGAAACTGAAATAAAAAAAAGTCAGGCCAAAACCAAAAATGTTTTATATTTTATTTGTATTTATTTTTTATAAACGTTTACATTTTTTATATTTTTATTCATTTTTATTATTTATTTTTTACTTTACTTTTACGAGCTTTGGGAAAATATTGGGGGTCTAAACAGACCCCTGATATTTCCCTTTTAAAATGGAGAAAGAGATTGAGTCCTCAATCTCTTTTTCTGCATTCCCAGTTATAATTGAACAGGAGTGTTCCTGTTCATTCATAACATGAGAACAGAGTGTGTTTACTATAACTACAATTATGAATGAACAGGAGGTGATGTAGATCACTCCCATTCATTCATAATTCAGGATATAGTAACCATAATCTGTCCACCATTATTTACAAACTCAGCGATCACTGAGTGTTTGTACTTGTTCTCTTTCCTGACACGCTGTCACAGGAGTCAAGCGGAGTTCATCCTCCTGTGACAGCACTGGCTTTCTCTGCCCTCACTGCTCTCCTCTGATCTGTCACAGGTGGCTGAGCGGTGCGGGGAGGAGAGATGCTGGACACTTACAGCACTCTCCTCCCGTAGCGCTCGGCCGCCTGTGACAGTTTCTCTCCTCCAAAGAACACACCTTTGCTATGCCCCCAGGTACACAGTCTATACATTCTTAATATACAATATTGATTAAACCCTCAAGCCTTTTTTATTACTAGTGTAGCCACCTTGCCCTAAGTGGGATGATTACTTAAATTTGGTTTGCTAAGATTGCATTCAGTCTGGCTATAGTCTATGCTCATTTGGTTTTCCCTAAGGATTCAGTTATTGATTGCATCTGCCTGCTGTTGGGTGTAGCCTTGCCACAGAGCAGAGCAACCAATAAAGGCATATCTACAGTACTGTGCAAGTGGTTTAGGCAGGTGTGAAAAAATGCTGTAAAGTAAAAATGCTTTCAGAAATAAAAGTGTTAATAGTTTTTTATCAATTAACTAATGGAAAGGGAATGAACAAGATAAATCAAATCAATATTTGGTGTGACCACCCTTTGCCTTCAAAACAGCATCAATTTTTCTAGGTACACTTGCACACAGGTTTTGAAGGAACTCGGCAAGTAGGTTGTTCCAAATATCGTGGAGAACTAACCACACATCTTCTGTGGATGTAGGCTGCCTCAAATCCTTCTGTATCTTCATGTAATCACAGACAGGCTCGATGATGTTGAGATCAGGGCTCTGTGGGGGCCAAACCATCACTTCCAGGACTCCTTGTTCTCCTTTACACTGAAGATATTTTTTAATGACATTGGCTGTATGTTTGGGATCATTGTCCTGCTGCAGAATACATTTGGTGTTCACCACACGCCTCCCTGATGGTATGGCATGATGGATAAGTATATCTGCTTGTATTTCTCAGCATTGAGGACACCTTTGACCCTGACCAATAGCAGAAATGCAGCCCCAGACTTGCAAGGAACCTCCACCATGCTTCACTGTTGCCAACAGACACTCATTATTGTACCGCTCTACAGCCCTTCGACAAACAAACTGCCTCCTGCTACAGCCAAATATTTAAAATTTAGACTCATGAGTCCAGAGCACCTGCTGCCATTTTTCTGCACCCCAGTTCCTATGTTTTTCTGCATAGTTGAGTCGCTTAGCCTTGTTTCACGTCGGAGATAGGGCTTTTTGACTGCAAAGCAGTAGAAAAATGGTAGCAGGTGCCCTGGACTGATGAGTCTAAATTTGAAATATTTGGCTGTAGCAGGAAGCAGTTTGTTTGCCAAAGGGCTGGAGAGCAGTATAATAATGAGTCTCTTCAGCAACAGTGAAGCATGGTGGAGGTTCCTTGCAAGTCATCGTACTCCTGGTCCAAAGACCCTATACACTGTGAAGCTGGAGAGCATTTGGTGAGTTTGGAGTTCTGTAATCCTGCAGCCTGCAGCCCTATACCCTCTCTCCCTGTTTTGCTGTTGGTTTCTAATAAAGCACACATCCCACATTCTGGCTAAGGATCCATCCCCAAGGTGAAATGTTAGCCCCTCCTGCCCCTAGAATCCAGGGCGTGCTACAATAATTTAATTTTATACAGGCTTTTCAAAATAACAAATGCAGCAATATAAAGTTTAAATTAAAGGTTTTGTGTATAACACTTTTGATAGTTAAATAGTACATTGTTATAGAAATCTATGCATCAGACCAAAAAGGACAACTGAGGAAAGAGGAACAGAGGGACTTGGTTCTAAATGAGGGACAGTTGAAAGCTATGCTATTCAGCAATGCAGTCAACTAACTAGGTCTGTAATTACATTATGGGCATATTATAGTTAGACGTGCATATTGCAAGTATAGTGCACCACATCTGTCTGTTCCTGCCAATTTGAATGACTTTTTTTGTCATATGGTCTTCCAGACATACGAATACCAGATCAAATGACTACATGAAGGAAAATTTACAGTTACAGGTTTTTTTTTTCAGTATCTTGGAATGTTTTGTTCAAGTACTGCAGAAGTTTTGTTGATCAGAAACTTGTATGTTATTTTCTGTACATACAGTTATTATAGCTAGCAGTAGTCGATCACATTTGACTGGACTTGTTCTGTAATGTTGAAGCTCATCCATGCTGTTTATTCAGTTCTAAGGTACCAGATAATATCCCAGCAATTAAAAATGCACAGGTAGCTGTCACCATGGAATGTGTCAAGGCAGATGTTGGTTGTCCAAGAACAGGATGGGGGGGGGGGGGGGGGGGGG